CCAATTTTCTGTCTTGCGCTGTAGTATCTATTACGAACTTTAAATTTTAAAAAATTCCGGTAAATAATGTCGCTAAAATCATCAAAATACCGAATATCGGGAGGTACCGTTAGATGGGGGCTAACCCAAAACGTGGACCTATAATTACAATGTTTCGCTACACGAACTAGGACCCATTATGACCCACATATACCAATTTTTAGACAAATCAGTGAAAAAATGTGGCAAAACCATAAAAATACCGAATATCGGGATGTACATTATATGGGGACTATATCAAATCATGGACCCATATATGCAATGTTTCTCCACCAGAGCTGGAATTTTATGTTGATTATGAATATATATACTTTATGGGGTCTAAGACGAATATTACGGATGTTACAAACGGAATGACAAAGTTAATATACCCTCCTTTCCAAGGTGGAGGGTATAAAAATGGTCCAATCTTTTAACTAGAAGGTTTTGAAATGCAGTAACACATGCAACAGGACGAATACTTTCCTAACGGGACACTCGACAGACAATTTTGTAGAGAATATCGAGGGGTTCACAGAAGGCGCCTTTAGCCGACTTTGGTGTGGAACGTTGACAGGGCTGAATAGTAGATGTAAAATAAAATACTGTTTTCAACTGCAGAGACAAAACATGCAAGGATATGCATGTTTTGATACCGGGAGTGGGTGATTGGAAACTATGAAATATTTGGCAGTCAAAGAAACGAAGAGGTGATACAAACGCTTCAAATCCTTCCTGTATCTGTCCTACACTCATGCAAATCAAATTTCTTATTCGAACGTTATAATACAGTCTTGCAGTCTGGCAGCTAATACTAATACATAGCTGCCATCAAACGATGGTTAGTATTGGATTATAACCAACACAAAAACTTATCAACCATTACATATATCAAACGTACCTTACATTTGCAGCTGCCGAGGGTCAATACGTTCAACGTATGTAAAAAATTGTTGGACATCTTCTTCAATATTAAATGGAATATATCCTCACACCAATAGATGACGGACAGGAGTTTCTCCGATATTTTATTTACATTTTCTTTTATTTTATATATTTTTTTATATTTTCCTTTTCTTGCATTTGTTGAATAAAAAAAGTAAAAAAAAATATGTATTTCGAATGTATTTGACAGAAACTATTTCAAAAGTTTTAAATGCTAAGGTTTCTTTGTTTTATTACCCCAGGAATTGTACAACTCCAGTATGTTGATCTTCTTATCTCAATGAGCTGAGTTGACCTAGCTCCGTGTGTGTTCGACTTTTCGGCTATTCATTTTAATTTGTAATCAAACTCCAGTAGTAGATTCTCTAACTTATTTTTGAATTACCGACAAAAATCGGTAACTTTGAAACCAAAAATTTTTATATTTTCATTAGTACCTATCGCTATTTTACCCAAAAATTTCTTAATTATCGAAATTATAAATATTTTAATTTTACCGACTTTTGTCGGTAACTCCAAAAATAATTTAGCGAATCACACTACAGACCGCAATTATGAGCCGATCGCGAAGAACTTCGGCTTAGAGGTCGATGTCCAGCAAGAATAGAAACCTATAGTGTGGTAATCGCAATATATTTATGGTATAAAATGGATCAAAACCAGAAAATTTTCCCGATTTTGTAGTCGCTCTTCAGGTCACGGTTATGGACAAATCAACGCGGACTAGTGTTTGAGAGAGGTAATATGGCTACCATTTTGGATGGTAAAACTACGAAACAAAAAAAAAAAACGTCGTTGGCTTGTTTGTTCGGGGTACCGTAGTATTTTGTTGTTGCAAAATGATCAGGCTTTATCCCTTTAATGTTGTTTTTATAAAAACAACATTTGTTTATAAGTGGAGAACGATGGTAATGTTTACCAGGGGGTAAGGCAGGAAATACCTAGGTTTCGGAAAGAGCCACCAATCCTCATCAGTTCCGATGTTTTTTGTCTGGGATATTCTCCCCAGAAGTTATTTTAAAAATAACTTCTATGACAAAAAACATTTTTTACCCAAGTGACGAGATCGGTGGCTCTTTCCGAAACCTAGGTATTCACTGCCTTACCCCCTGGTAAACATTACCATCGTTCTCCACTAATAAACAAACGTTGTTTTTATAAAAACAACAATAAAGGGATAAAGCCTGACCATTTTGCAAAAAAAAAAAAAAAAAAAAAATTAACTTTTTCACTTCGTTCGGAAAATGCATCCTTGGACCCACTACATGGAAATAACTTTAAACAATATTAAAACAAGTAAAAAACAAGATATATTCGACAGGGCCGCACCTTTAATACTCTGAAACTTAAAAATTTAAAAAATGTCTTTAAAAACAGCAAGTTTCAGATATTTATACGAATATTGGGAGTTATTGTTGTATAGGGACTATACTAAGACATGCATTTATATGAGAAATGTTTATCAGATGATGTGTAGTAGACTTCCAAAATTCCAGTTTCACACAATTCAGTTAAAAAAATATAGCTAAAACTTAAAATCGTTAAAATGCCGAATATCTGGATGTACTTTTATATGGATGTACTATACCAGAACTCGGACTTATACAGCGTGAGATAAAAACACTGCAACAATTAATTAATTTTTTGAATAAAAGCAAAAAAATGTCGGAAATAGCATCAAATTTTAGAATAAGTTTAGATTTGTTCGAATTGGTCACCTTTGGCACGACTTATGGCCTTCAAACGGCCAATGAAACAGTCACACGCTGTCCGAATGTTGCTCTGCGGTATTTTGGCCCATTCTCGGCGAAGCGTTTCCTGGAGGTGATCGAAACTTAGTGCCAACCTTGCTTTCGAAAATACTACAGACACAATAGTCCAACGGATTGGAGTCGGAGATTTTGGTGGCCATTGTGCGCTGAAAATGAAGCGAGGAACCTCATTTTGTAACCTTTCTTGGGTGGCGCGTGCTGAGTGCGATGGTGCTGAGACCTGCTGGGATGTCCAAGGACTGCGGCCAAAATGTTTGCGTGCCCTAGGTTATAAACACCCTCCAGAATATTTTCGCGATAATATTCGGCACTTATTCTGATGTCAAGGTCGAATAATACTAGCGGAGAGAGACCATCGGCTGTTATGGCGGCCCACACCATCACCATGGCCGTGGCTTGAGTTCTGGTGGCCAACCGAAGGCGCATATTTTCAGTTGACCTCTTCGGCAAGTAAACACGATAATTTTGTTTGTTTATAAACTGCTGGACAACGAATGTTTTCTCATCGGAGCGGAGAAACCCAAATTCGGCAGTTCACCACTTTCGGTCAAGCGAAGCAACTCTTAAGACCTTTCGTGTCTAGTTCAGTTGCAGTGTAAGTTTTTGCACTTTTTGGAATTTTAATGGCTTTACCCCGAGCTCATTTTTAAATATTTGCCGAATGGAATACTGCGATATGTTCAGCTAACGAGCCATTTTTCGGCCACTGCGACGCGGGTTTCGATCAAGTCGCTTCTTAACTTTTCGAACCATTTCTGCTGATGTTGCTGTTTTCCTCTGTCCACTTTCTTTATGCCGGGCTACGGTAGTTTCACGCTCATCAGGGATGGTAAGAGACTTATTCACATTTAAATGCTGGGGTGCTCTAACGATAGCCACTTGTGGTTTTTTTCTGGAAAATTCTCACCAAAGTGCTTATGTACGCTTGTAAACAATATAGGGATCTGTCACTGAAATAACTTTTACAGCTGTCGGACGAGTGGCTTAGAAGTGTCAGCTTTCTGAAATTGGTTACAGTTTTTTCATCTTACCCTGTATAAAGAGTTCTCCGCAAAGATCTTTCCTATAAACTGCGAACGCAAACCAATTTAAAGCAAAATTCGGATAAAAATTCTGATTAAAATTACCGGTGCAGTTATATAACCCCTATACCAAAATGTGGACCTATATAATGCATTGACATTCCAAAAGTCCTGCTCACCTAACACACATCTGAGTAAAATTTTATCAACCGTTCGAAAGCTTAAGGGATTTCTACAGACGGATGGACGAATATCGCTAAATCGACACAGAATTTTATGCGATCAAAAATATATACTTTATATTTCGAGGTGTTACAAACGGTGGAGGATATAAAAATAGAGCTCCAGAATATATTTGTTCTTTAAACTGAAATTACTAAAACCAGCAACTTTTAGTTTTCGTCCTAAGTTTTCACATTCTCAAGAAAAATGTTATACTGAAATTGATATTAGGAGAAATTCTTGCAGAAAACGGAAAATCGTCAAAATTGGGTTTTAAAGTTGTTTACGAGCTCGCAAGACTTTCTCGTTTTTGCCATCTTAGAATGTAAATTTCCGATAAACATGTAAATACATTGAAATGCATCAAATCTATCAAAAAAAAAAAAAAAAATAAATTTTCATCCAATTATACCGACATTTCCCCATAAAATTCGTAGATAGAATATTCAATAAAGTGTTTGAAGTTTTCGGCACTTCGTTGCGCTTGATCTTGTATTAGTGTATGAAAGTAAAACCGTCGTATGTGTGTGTGATGTGTCTTTGATATGTCACTTTTGATGGAGCCTTAATGTGAAGACAACAACAACTCACACTTTGTGCGAAGATAAATTAATGTTTCATCATTTCAACATTCCTAATCTATTTGATTATTTATCTATTCAATGTTGGAGAAATAAATGACAAAGTCCTTTTGACGAGTAGACAGCTTTTTCGTTTCTCGAAATCACTCAGAGTGTGTCGACTTGGTGCAAATTTAAGGCGATAAATTTAATGAGTTGTGTTGTGGTAGGATTCTTTAGCAATTTGGTCTTTGGTTTTGACCTTCAATTTTAATGCATTACCGATTTTTTAAAAATATTTTACTATATAATTATTTACTTGAAAATTGAAGCTTTTAATGTTGGAACTAGTAGAACCATTTCGAAAAATTTCTTCCAACATTTGATTATATGGGCCGTACTATTAATACAAATAAGTATTTCATGCATTTTTTAGAACTTTATTTATTTTTTTTCGTTTTTCTATTTAACTACAGATTTATGTAGGAGCTATATCCAAATCTGAACAGATCTCTACAAAATTTGCCAAAAGTATTTTTGGGCAATATCTGACATCATCTAGCGAAGGTCTTTGGAATGTATATCAATATATAACAACGTGGGATATACGAAAAATTTACCAGAGACTATGGGACCTATTGCCATGAACAATACCGTTGACAAATGTGCCTGATATCATCCATTCACCAAATTTTGTTGACCGTTCTGTTATATGGCTGCTATTCGAAAACGTGGATCTGGATAGACAAGTATTTTGCAACCGAAGATGGAACCTGTTACGAACTCCGATAAACACCGTTAAATAATGTGTCTAAAATCATCCAAGAGGAGGATTATGGATTTTTAGTTAAGACATATATAATTTTGGTGTTTATACCTTACTAGGGTTATATTGCTGTTGAAGAGGATCGGTGCCACAACAACTTATCAATATCAACAAGTAAAAAAACTGTGAGTTCGGCCGGGCTGATCTTTGAATACCCTCCACCATTAGGTATACATTTGGCAATTTTCAAAAAAAAAAAAAAAAAACAAAAAAAATCCGTTAAAAATTTTGTTAAAATCTTAAAAATGCCTAATGTAGCCGTATATTTAGGGTCCATACGACGAGGAAGAATTGCATAGGCAACTTTTGTCATAAGCTATTACAATATTCAAATGCTAAACTTGAAAAAGACGTGGACCTACATGACCAATTTTCTGTCTTGCGCTGTAGTATCTATTACGAACTTTAAATTTTAAAAAATTCCGGTAAATAATGTCGCTAAAATCATCAAAATACCGAATATCGGGAGGTACCGTTAGATGGGGGCTAACCCAAAACGTGGACCTATAATTACAATGTTTCGCTACACGAACTAGGACCCATTATGACCCACATATACCAATTTTTAGACAAATCAGTGAAAAAATGTGGCAAAACCATAAAAATACCGAATATCGGGATGTACATTATATGGGGACTATATCAAATCATGGACCCATATATGCAATGTTTCTCCACCAGAGCTGGAATTTTATGTTGATTATGAATATATATACTTTATGGGGTCTAAGACGAATATTACGGATGTTACAAACGGAATGACAAAGTTAATATACCCTCCTTTCCAAGGTGGAGGGTATAAAAATGGTCCAATCTTTTAACTAGAAGGTTTTGAAATGCAGTAACACATGCAACAGGACGAATACTTTCCTAACGGGACACTCGACAGACAATTTTGTAGAGAATATCGAGGGGTTCACAGAAGGCGCCTTTAGCCGACTTTGGTGTGGAACGTTGACAGGGCTGAATAGTAGATGTAAAATAAAATACTGTTTTCAACTGCAGAGACAAAACATGCAAGGATATGCATGTTTTGATACCGGGAGTGGGTGATTGGAAACTATGAAATATTTGGCAGTCAAAGAAACGAAGAGGTGATACAAACGCTTCAAATCCTTCCTGTATCTGTCCTACACTCATGCAAATCAAATTTCTTATTCGAACGTTATAATACAGTCTTGCAGTCTGGCAGCTAATACTAATACATAGCTGCCATCAAACGATGGTTAGTATTGGATTATAACCAACACAAAAACTTATCAACCATTACATATATCAAACGTACCTTACATTTGCAGCTGCCGAGGGTCAATACGTTCAACGTATGTAAAAAATTGTTGGACATCTTCTTCAATATTAAATGGAATATATCCTCACACCAATAGATGACGGACAGGAGTTTCTCCGATATTTTATTTACATTTTCTTTTATTTTATATATTTTTTTATATTTTCCTTTTCTTGCATTTGTTGAATAAAAAAAAGTAAAAAAAAATATGTATTTCGAATGTATTTGACAGAAACTATTTCAAAAGTTTTAAATGCTAAGGTTTCTTTGTTTTATTACCCCAGGAATTGTACAACTCCAGTATGTTGATCTTCTTATCTCAATGAGCTGAGTTGACCTAGCTCCGTGTGTGTTCGACTTTTCGGCTATTCATTTTAATTTGTAATCAAACTCCAGTAGTAGATTCTCTAACTTATTTTTGAATTACCGACAAAAATCGGTAACTTTGAAACCAAAAATTTTTATATTTCATTAGTACCTATTTTACCCAAAAATTTCTTAATTATCGAAATTATAAATATTTTAATTTTACCGACTTTTGTCGGTAACTCCAAAAATAATTTAGCGAATCACACTACAGACCGCAATTATGAGCCGATCGCGAAGAACTTCGGCTTAGAGGTCGATGTCCAGCAAGAATAGAAACCTATAGTGTGGTAATCGCAATATATTTATGGTATAAAATGGATCAAAACCAGAAAATTTTCCCGATTTTGTAGTCGCTCTTCAGGTCACGGTTATGGACAAATCAACGCGGACTAGTGTTTGAGAGAGGTAATATGGCTACCATTTTGGATGGTAAAACTACGAAACAAAAAAAAAACGTCGTTGGCTTGTTTGTTCGGGGTACCGTAGTATTTTGTTGTTGCAAAATGATCAGGCTTTATCCCTTTAATGTTGTTTTTATAAAAACAACATTTGTTTATAAGTGGAGAACGATGGTAATGTTTACCAGGGCGTAAGGCAGGAAATACCTAGGTTTCGGAAAGAGCCACCAATCCTCATCAGTTCCGATGTTTTTTGTCTGGGATATTCTCCCCAGAAGTTATTTTAAAAATAACTTCTATGACAAAAAACATTTTTTACCCAAGTGACGAGATCGGTGGCTCTTTCCGAAACCTAGGTATTCACTGCCTTACCCCCTGGTAAACATTACCATCGTTCTCCACTAATAAACAAACGTTGTTTTTATAAAAACAACAATAAAGGGATAAAGCCTGACCATTTTGAAAAAAAAAAAAAAAAAATTAACTTTTTCACTTCGTTCGGAAAATGCATCCTTGGACCCACTACATGGAAATAACTTTAAACAATATTAAAACAAGTAAAAAACAAGATATATTCGACAGGGCCGCACCTTTAATACTCTGAAACTTAAAAATTTAAAAAATGTCTTTAAAAACAGCAAGTTTCAGATATTTATACGAATATTGGGAGTTATTGTTGTATAGGGACTATACTAAGACATGCATTTATATGAGAAATGTTTATCAGATGATGTGTAGTAGACTTCCAAAATTCCAGTTTCACACAATTCAGTTAAAAAAATATAGCTAAAACTTAAAATCGTTAAAATGCCGAATATCTGGATGTACTTTTATATGGATGTACTATACCAGAACTCGGACTTATACAGCGTGAGATAAAAACACTGCAACAATTAATTAATTTTTTGAATAAAAGCAAAAAAATGTCGGAAATAGCATCAAATTTTAGAATAAGTTTAGATTTGTTCGAATTAGTCACCTTTGGCACGACTTATGGCCTTCAAACGGCCAATGAAACAGTCACACGCTGTCCGAATGTTGCTCTGCGGTATTTTGGCCCATTCTCGGCGAAGCGTTTCCTGGAGGTGATCGAAACTTAGTGCCAACCTTGCTTTCGAAAATACTACAGACACAATAGTCCAACGGATTGGAGTCGGAGATTTTGGTGGCCATTGTGCGCTGAAAATGAAGCGAGGAACCTCATTTTGTAACCTTTCTTGGGTGGCGCGTGCTGAGTGCGATGGTGCTGAGACCTGCTGGGATGTCCAAGGACTGCGGCCAAAATGTTTGCGTGCCCTAGGTTATAAACACCCTCCAGAATATTTTCGCGATAATATTCGGCACTTATTCTGATGTCAAGGTCGAATAATACTAGCGGAGAGAGACCATCGGCTGTTATGGCGGCCCACACCATCACCATGGCCGTGGCTTGAGTTCTGGTGGCCAACCGAAGGCGCATATTTTCAGTTGACCTCTTCGGCAAGTAAACACGATAATTTTGTTTGTTTATAACTGCTGGACAACGAATGTTTTCTCATCGGAGCGGAGAAACCCAAATTCGGCAGTTCACCACTTTCGGTCAAGCGAAGCAACTCTTAAGATCTTTCGTGTCTAGTTCTGTTGCAGTGTAAGTTTTTGCACTTTTTGGAATTTTAATGGCTTTACCCCGAGCTCATTTTTCAATATTTGCCGAATGGAATACTGCGATATGTTCAGCTAACGAGCCATTTTTCGGCCACTGCGACGCGGGTTTCGATCAAGTCGCTTCTTAACTTTTCGAACCATTTCTGCTGATGTTGCTGTTTTCCTCTGTCCACTTTCTTTATGCCGGGCTACGGTAGTTTCACGCTCATCAGGGATGGTAAGAGACTTATTCACATTTAAATGCTGGGGTGCTCTAACGATAGCCACTTGTGGTTTTTTTCTGGAAAATTCTCACCAAAGTGCTTATGTACGCTTGTAAACAATATAGGGATCTGTCACTGAAATAACTTTTACAGCTGTCGGACGAGTGGCTTAGAAGTGTCAGCTTTCTGAAATTGGTTACAGTTTTTTCATCTTACCCTGTATAAAGAGTTCTCCGCAAAGATCTTTCCTATAAACTGCGAACGCAAACTAATTTAAAGCAAAATTCGGATAAAAATTCTGATTAAAATTACCGGTGCAGTTATATAACCCCTATACCAAAATGTGGACCTATATAATGCATTGACATTCCAAAAGTCCTGCTCACCTAACACACATCTGAGTAAAATTTTATCAACCGTTCGAAAGCTTAAGGGATTTCTACAGACGGATGGACGAATATCGCTAAATCGACACAGAATTTTATGCGATCAAAAATATATACTTTATATTTCGAGGTGTTACAAACGGTGGAGGATATAAAAATAGAGCTCCAGAATATATTTGTTCTTTAAACTGAAATTACTAAAACCAGCAACTTTTAGTTTTCGTCCTAAGTTTTCACATTCTCAAGAAAAATGTTATACTGAAATTGATATTAGGAGAAATTCTTGCAGAAAACGGAAAATCGTCAAAATTGGGTTTAAAGTTGTTTACGAGCTCGCAAGACTTTCTCGTTTTTGCCATCTTAGAATGTAAATTTCCGATAAACATGTAAATACATTGAAATGCATCAAATCTATCAAAAAAAAAAAAAAAATAAATTTTCATCCAATTATACCGACATTTCCCCATAAAATTCGTAGATAGAATATTCAATAAAGTGTTTGAAGTTTTCGGCACTTTGTTGCGCTTGATCTTGTATTAGTGTATGAAAGTAAAACCGTCGTATGTGTGTGTGATGTGTCTTTGATATGTCACTTTTGATGGAGCCTTAATGTGAAGACAACAACAACTCACACTTTGTGCGAAGATAAATTAATGTTTCATCATTTCAACATTCCTAATCTATTTGATTATTTATCTATTCAATGTTGGAGAAATAAATGACAAAGTCCTTTTGACGAGTAGACAGCTTTTTCGTTTCTCGAAATCACTCAGAGTGTGTCGACTTGGTGCAAATTTAAGGCGATAAATTTAATGAGTTGTGTTGTGGTAGGATTCTTTAGCAATTTGGTCTTTGGTTTTGACCTTCAATTTTAATGCATTACCGATTTTTTAAAAATATTTTACTATATAATTATTTACTTGAAAATTGAAGCTTTTAATGTTGGAACTAGTAGAACCATTTCGAAAAATTTCTTCCAACATTTGATTATATGGGCCGTACTATTAATACAAATAAGTATTTCATGCATTTTTTAGAACTTTATTTATTTTTTTCGTTTTTCTATTTAACTACAGATTTATGTAGGAGCTATATCCAAATCTGAACAGATCTCTACAAAATTTGCCAAAAGTATTTTTGGGCAATATCTGACATCATCTAGCGAAGGTCTTTGGAATGTATATCAATATATAACAACGTGGGATATACGAAAAATTTACCAGAGACTATGGGACCTATTGCCATGAACAATACCGTTGACAAATGTGCCTGATATCATCCATTCACCAAATTTTGTTGACCGTTCTGTTATATGGCTGCTATTCGAAAACGTGGATCTGGATAGACAAGTATTTTGCAACCGAAGATGGAACCTGTTACGAACTCCGATAAACACCGTTAAATAATGTGTCTAAAATCGTCCAAGAGGAGGATTATGGATTTTTAGTTAAGACATATATAATTTTGGTGTTTATACCTTACTAGGGTTATATTGCTGTTGAAGAGGATCGGTGCCACAACAACTTATCAATATCAACAAGTAAAAAAACTGTGAGTTCGGCCGGGCCGATCTTTGAATACCCTCCACCATTAGGTATACATTTGGCAATTTTCAAAAAAAAAAAAAAAAAAACAAAAAAAATCCGTTAAAAATTTTGTTAAAATCTTAAAAATGCCTAATGTAGCCGTATATTTAGGGTCCATACGACGAGGAAGAATTGCATAGGCAACTTTTGTCATAAGCTATTACAATATTCAAATGCTAAACTTGAAAAAGACGTGGACCTACATGACCAATTTTCTGTCTTGCGCTGTAGTATCTATTACGAACTTTAAATTTTAAAAAATTCCGGTAAATAATGTCGCTAAAATCATCAAAATACCGAATATCGGGAGGTACCGTTAGATGGGGGCTATACGAAGACGTGGACCTGCATGGCCCATTTTCAATACCAAAAGTCCTGCAGACATAATACACATTTGAGTAAATTTTTATCAACCTACTTCATTTCGTTCGGAAGTGATTTCCACAGATGGACAGACGGATAGGAGGACAGAAGGACGGACATTGCTAAATCGACATTTTATGCTGTTCAAAAATATATATACTTTATGGGGTCTAAAATGTATGTTTCGAAGTGTTACAAACTTTATAAAATTG